CCGGGTTGGGGCCAGAAGCTGCCAGTTACCTCAACGGTTTTGTATTGTACCTTTTAACGTTCATATAGGACTTCCGTCTTGAAAATACCACAAGGCCACTGCGTGCCAGATAACGCACGCCCCACGTGAGAACCTGAGCACAGCGCTGCAGGCAGTCAGGCGGTCACATGCGCGTTGCACGCAAGTTGCAAGATATATCGCTTGAGAGATTTCGACACGTTCGCGAACAAGAATGGTTCCGTCCCGTCCGTCCCCAGCTTTTCAACTAAACAGTGTGAGACGAATACTTTGTGCATGCTCCTTAGTGCGATCTCCACTCTTGTTGCCCGGTCAGGGATGTGGTTTCCTATTCTGTGTGAAGGGGTTTCAGCCCCCTTCTCCAGCTCAGCTTCGGTTCCAGCCCCCACAAACCTAAAAAGATAATGGCTCAAATGCGAGAAGAAGCCGTCTGTTTATGCATTTCGGAGGCAAGCTGAGTCATTTTGCGCTGTTCAGCCCCCCCCCCCCTAATTAATTTTGCGAAACTACGCTTCTGTGCTCGCACCTTGTGCATGTGCATTGTGCATGTGCACTGTGCATGCCCACACATTCCTTTGACGAAATCCTGGAGGTCGGTGAAGATAAACATGGCCAGGGGGGGGGGGGACGCCACTCATAAAGGAAGCATTTTTGTCTTGTAACACCATTGGCGGCTCCTGACAGATACTTGAAAAGAAGCATGCTCTTTGGGTTGGACAAAACAGCAAGATCCACCAGCATTTAACATACAAGTGTGCATCCAAACAAGTCGAACGTGTGATCTTCGGTTTTCTTATCATGAAATCTCACTGAGCTCCGCACCCCCCCCCCCCCCCCTCTCTCCACGCACACTTTTAAGAAGTCCTGCCTGCGTTTCAGATCGGCTTCCGTTGGCGGACGGGCACCAGGCCTCTACGTAGGGGACGCCATGACCATTATTTTCAAGCGGCACCAAATTCCAGGAGCACCATAGCGAGCATCAAAAGCCTTATTTCAAGTGGTAGCCCACTCCAGAGAGCTCCACATTGTCGCAAGCTCTCCAGATGATGCCTCGGCTTTTGCTGATACAATGATCTTAAAGCCAAAATTTGGAACCTGCGCTCGCCGTCCCCCTTGAAATGACCAAAAGACTTAACAACAGTGGACATATCGTTACTTTTGTTAGAAAATTTCCCTTACGTTGGGCATTCGCGCAGCGGACCAATTAGCTGTTGCAGGTCGGTGACTATCGTGCACTTGACCGACCACCTCGCAGGGCCAGTCAAAAGGCTACTAATAACAAACTACTAAATATAGTTCTAACACCCTACTCTTAAGACATATATATATATATATATATATATATATATATATATATATATATATACATGTATGTATTTAAACGAGTGAACACTTTCGTTAGGTGACTAATGGTGTGACATTGAAGGTATTCAGTGGGCCGGCAATGGCCATTGGACAGTTCTCAACGGACCTTGAATGTTTCTTGTCGCATAAAGCTGGTCCACCTCGGAGCGGTCATCCTCCTCCGACATCGTACCGACTATCACAAAGTTGCCGCAAACGTGGTGAAATGTTTCGAGTGCGGGTAAGGCTTACTATCGATTGCGCTGGTTGGGACATGGTGTGTCCACGGTACTGGCGAACGGGAGTTAATACATCTACTGACCAATAGATGACACTTCTACCGTTCTACCGCTTTAGTGGCAGCGGTTCGCGCACATTTTATGTGTCCATGTGCCGGACCTGATGTGCAGCACCGATACCTTCTTCCAGCACTTCAGCCAGCAGCTGATAGAGAGGGCGAACACCGAGCTGAGGCACGATGCTGAGCCCTTTCAGTACTCGCCGCAAAGCCTGATTGTTCAGCATGTGAAACGAGACCGGCTACGCATAAATGTGCATACAATCTAATAGATGAATGATTCATTTTATCAGAATCTTGGAGCCAAAAGGAGTGAGAGAAATAGACTATCAATGGTGATATGGTTTTGGAAGGCGATTGATGCCACGAGTTTCGTTTGCCATTCAACTGTTGTTACTTCGCTGAAATAAAAACCGGCATAAAAGCAACGCACGTAAAACCTGCATTACAAGAAAGCTATCATCTATGTTGCTGTGCGCAAAATGTATCCTGGGAAACTGAACTCGTTCGGTAATGGGTAGGTGCGTAAACGGAACTTAAAGTCAAATTACCCGCACGCTAGAATAAAATCTGACTTCAGCATCAATGCGAGTGAAAGGCCATGCACGTTCATTGCATCATCCGTATGCAAAGAACACACATACCAACAAACTGCCTTAAAGCTGTAAAGATAAAGACGCGTGATCTGTTCTGGCAAACCGCTAAAATAAAAACTGACGCAAACAGCAACGCAAGTGATACAAAAAAAAACATATGCGTGTAACCCCAAAACACGTAGATATAAAGCTTAGTCAGTTGGACATTTGACTGACTTATGATCGGTCACCAAATTTATGTTCCGTCAAGTTAAGACAGCAGTAGTAACCTTATTCCTCGGAAAAAGCAGGAAAATGGAGATACAGTTAGATTAGGAATGGATATATGGTAACCTTTCTATATCTCCATTCTCCTGGTTTTTCTGAGGAATAAGGCTAATACTACTGTCTTATCTGTGTGACTAATGTTCCTCGCTAATGCATCAAACAACTTCCGTCAAGTTAGGTGTCCGCCAACAAGTGACACGCTGCATTACATTCAAAGTAAAAAGGCAGGTACAATTTTTAACAGAATGCAATAGAACTTAATTAGTGATGTTCCTCCGGGTATCGGCTTTGAGGAATCTGGGAAAGATATTTGATAACTCAATACTTTGCGACATGTGGAGCAAAATGTGCGGCAGGGTCCCGCTCTGTGAGCATTTTCCATGGACTACACATAAAACTAGGGGGAACATGCCGGTTATAACTTTAAAAAGCCGGGCACAGTTCAAAGCTAGAACTATGGAGGCAGCGCGTTTGAATTTCAAATTGTTTTTTTATCTCTCATTGTAGGGAACATATTTGATGAGACTCATAGTTCTTGCACAATCAGCTGAAATTTGGAATGCGCGGTCCAAATTCCTACGGCGGCCGACGCGCTCGGCCGGCCAGGCGGCCGGTCGCTAGTACCATGTTTGACACACCGCGACAAGTATGAACGTTTTGAATATCCCGGCCTAACCCGGCATTGAAATCGTAATCGTGCCACTGAGTTGTAAGATCCATGCGGTAAATACGGGATCACCGTTCTTACCTGGCTTTCTTGTCGTTGACGGAGACAATGGTACTCACAGAAGATATTTCCGACGCCTAAGACATTTCCGACAGCCATTCACAGCATACTACAAACGGTCATCAACACGAGAAAGATAATACCTTAATTTTCGCGGACGGAGGGCAGTCCTGAATGAATTCCTGGGGCTCGGCTGCCTCAAGTGACGGGCCTTGCCTCAAGTGACTTCGGGTTTTCCCTCAAAAGGAGGATCATCTTTACGAGCGCCGTTTTCCATCAGGGTCCGCTGTGGGATCAGTATTCTCCAGCATGGCTAAACACTCCCATACGGTCGGAGGCCGATATCAGCATGTTGTTGCACGTTGCACATTGTTGCAATAGCACGTTGCTGCACGTTCACATGAATTCCATATCAGCAGTTTGCCTGAACCGGCTAAAATGCATGTCAGACGCTTTTGCGGAGAGGAGAAGCAACACCCATCCACAATCCTCCGCTCTTCCAAACGGAACGGAGTCAGCCTGTTGCAGTTGCATGACCATGGATGGTGTACTGGAGGCTTTGCACCAAATCGCAAAGTTGTCAACGTAAAGTGATCGAACAGTGGATTGTGGGAGCGCATCATCGATATCGTGATAGTCGGTTGTGTCATGTTGTTACGGACAATTTGCACCAGTCGGAGTGGACTGAGCCATTTTGCACGAAATTCGTTTGATTCATGACCAAACTTGTGAAGCCGAGGTGAAACAGTCCGCATAGCTGATGAGTGAGTGCAGGGTGCCCCGAATGGTACGCCGAGTAAGCACCTTCGCCTTCTTAAAGTTAATCCTGTTGCAGCGGTCAGGCGCACGGAACACCGGCCGTCGTGCGTGGTTCGCATCTCGACACTCAGTCCACCGCGAGACCGGAGTACGGCGAGGATCTCCAGATGTCCGAGGTACACATCCGGCAGAGGGGAGGCGGTGACATGAAACCTCAGCTGGAACGGAACGCCCTTAGACCTGCTTAAAATAGATGTTTCGAGTCGTAACACGAACATGTGTCAGTCGGCTTTGTCCAAGCTCCTTCCAAGGCCGTGTGCGGATAATTACCCTGTCTCGATAATTCACCGACATAAGAAAATGATCCAAATCCGAGAGAATCATCCGCAGTTGTCCGTGTGAGATGCTGCACAAGATCAGGGCAACGTGGTTATATTTAACCACGATTATGGTATGCAGTGGTAAGCCAATAGGAACGCTATGATTGAGATGAATTTAGCCACCGTTATGCAACCGAATAGTAAACGTAAAGGCAGAGGGATTACGAAAAAGGATGAGAGAAACAGAACCATACAATCGATGAATGACCACTAAAACTGAGCAGAGGAAGGGGAAGGAGGTCGCATCGAGAAGAAAGCAGAGAAGAGCAGGCGGTTTAGTGTAGCGGCGCCGGCTGACTGGAGGTGCTCCGGTGTCGAATGAGATGGTTGTGTGTGCCACGCTCCGGATCTGAGCGGTTTCATTGGAACATATGGTTGTGTCTTGATGTAATAGTGGGCCATTGGAAACACAACAGCGGCTGTGTCTCTTGGTATCATCGGCACATACTGTGGGCGCACATTACTGAAAATATCTCAATTGCGCAGCGTCACCGCAATGAAACAGCAGACCAATGTCCTAACCACGTAAGAAACATGTGTATCGGAAGCCGCATACCATTCGGGACCTTTGCCGTGGCAAATACGTAAGTAAATGCTGTCGTCGATCGCCATCATCTCTCAACCCAGCCTGCTATATTTGGAGCAAAATGAGCATTGCTGACAACAGTGTTCAGCCGTGGCATCTTTCAGAATATTACGCAATACTCTGAGGAGCTCACGGAGATAAATCTTGACAACCTACCAAACACAACTTGCCCTGAAACAGAACGCATACTGAGCGATTCATTTGACTCGCATGGTTATCTCGGCGGCAACGACGTTCCCGCAACAATGAAACTATCACTGTCACAGGCACTAAATAAACTTAATATAGCAGTTAGGCACACATGGGCAGCACCACACAACGCAACATAAGACGCAATTCACACTAGATGCGGTCGCTTCTTCATTACACTGCTCCACATTGATGGCGTTTATCACACTAAAACCTGGGATTTGATTTCACTCACTTCGTCCAGTCCGCTATCTCTCGCCCGAGAAGCGGGCCGGCGCAGCTGACGTCCCAGCCTGGGCCTCTGTGACCCCGGGCCGGGTCGGAGCTCGGGGCGAGACAGCCAGCAGTGCTCAGACCGAGTAAAATGTGTCGAGCTGCGGCGGGTTGGTCAAGTTGAGACGGCGCTCGATGATACCCATCTTGAGCGACACCTCGGCCACGGCGGCCAGCACCGTGTTCAGCTTCTGGCCGAGCTCCTCCAGCGAGTCGCGGCTGGCCATAGCCTTCTTGCGGCGGCGGCGACCGCGCCGGCTGCGACCGGCGCCCTCTGGCTGGGCCTGGTCGTCGCCGTCGCCGTCACCGGCGGCTGGCGTCTGGCGGCCGGAGGCGGGCGCGCTGTCCGGCCCTAGCTCCGCCTCAGGCATCTCGTAGAACGGGCCGAGCTCGCCGGTCTTGGCGCGCACAGCCGCCAGTATCTCGGCCTGCAGCAGCTGTTCGCGGGTCTCCCGGTCGGCGTCGGCTGCGCGGCCGCGCAACAGCGCCAGCATGTTGCGCACCATCCAGTTGTGTATGACATAGCGGGTGGGGCGCAGATCTCCAGTACCGGCTGTGCGGTATAGTCGCGCGTGGCCCTTGATGTTGGGACGGAATGAGGCTCGCAAAATGCGCTCGCCGTCGTCGCCTTCGCCACTGCTGTCACCGTTCTCGGTCTTGTCTGCCGGCGTACAGGTGGTGGCCGCTGCCGGCTGGCCCGACAGGCGGTTGTCCACCTGACGCAACAGCAGTTTCGGCAGCAGCGTCAACTTGGCCTGCATACGCTGACAGATGCGCGAGCGAAACACCGTGTACAGGACGTTGGAGTAGATGACCGACTCGATGTAGAGGATCTGGATGACAGTCATACGCAGCCGTTGTACGCCGGCCGTCTTGAACAGGCCCTGGATGTCGTTGACAGTGAGACCGATCAGCAGGTTGACGGTGATGATGGACATGCTGACGACGAACAGGATCAGGACGAAGTGAGACGTGCCCGGATAAACGATCGACTCGTCGTTTGAGAACATGCCATCATAGTCGTACTCCCCCATCATCATGACGAACGTCTTGATGAGCGCATGCGGGATGGTATGGAAGGCAGTTTTGTCGCCAAACAGCACCTGGAAACTGAGTGCAAACGCCACCAGCAGCGGCGAGTAGACGAGCAAGAACCCGACCAGCTTCTGAGCGACGCGAACGAACATGTAGATGTAGATGCCGATGCTAGGGAAACGGCCCACCATAAGGGTCATCTCCAGCCAGACAGTCAGCATCAGCCAGGCGACCGTGTGGTGGACCCAACCGCCGTACGAGTTGTGGCCGATGAGCAGCGCCGAGTTGAGCACGATGATCACCAGCTCCAACCAGTTCTCAACGCTGCGTACGTACAGCCGCCAACTGTACAGCAGCTGGAATGTCTCGCGGATGGCGGCGGCGATGGTGAGCAGGCCGGAGATGCAGGCCAGTACCTTCGTCGCTGCCGCGTACGGTTGCATAACACACATCATCCCGTAGCCCGTCACTAGCAGCGCGAAGCACACGTAGAACGCGAAGTTGAAGATGAAGAAGCGGCGGACCTGCAACCACTTGATGTGCAGGAACGTCTCGACCAGCGGGTGCTTGAGCAATTCGTCCTGGTCGGCGTCGACGATGGCTCGGAGTACGCCTGTCTCGGGCGCCGGGTGCTGGCGCTCGGCGTCCCAGAACGGCATGTAGTCGAGGTACACCTCGAGCTCGGAGCTATCCAGCGGCCGGTTATTGGTGGTCATGTAGTGCTCGAACACGTCTGGCACGGCCGAAGGCACGTTCTGCAGCAGCGTCAGTGTGGTGGGCTCGTCTCCACGCGCCCCGGCCGCCAGCAGCAGTCGCACAGTCTCGCGGTTCGTGGCTTGCTGCAACGGTGTGCGACCGGCCTTGTTAGGTTGGTGCAGCGCCGCGGCCGGCAGCCGGTCGAGCGCCGCCGACACGGTGCTGGCGCAGCCCGAAGTGACGGCTGCGTGCAGCAGCGTGTTGCCGCGTGCGTCCTGGCCGGCGCAGCGGGCACCCAGTTCGACCAGGGTGAGCAGAGCGGCCGTGTTGCCGGCAGCGGCCGCCTGATGCAGCGGCGTCAGACCAGCCATGTTCGTCGCCTCCAGCGGCGCGTCGGCCTCGCGCAGCAGCCGCACGAGCTCGATGGTCACGTCGATCGGGTGGTGCACACGACTGACCACGTGCAGCGCCGTGTCGCCGACGGCGTCGGGCGTAGCTGGGTCGGCGCCGCGCCGCAGCAGCAGGTCGAGCATGTCGCAGTCGCCCAGCGACGTCACCAGGTGAAGCAGGATGTTGCGCCGCAGCAGACTGGGCAGTGTCTGCTGACGACGCGGCGATTGCAGACGCGTGTGCGGCCGTTTATTGTCGCCGCTCAGACGCGTTCGCTTCCGTGATGTCTTGGACACGGCGCGCATGTCGGCGTTGGGGTCGGCGCCGGCGTCGAGTGCGGCGGTCGCCAGCTGCGTGTCGCCCGTGAGGCAGGCGTTGAAGAGGCGCTGCTGCTGACTGGTGCCGGCCGCTGGCTCTTGATGCTTGGCGTCGTCTTCATGGCTGACCGAGCGGCGCACAATCTCGTCCATCCGGCGCAACAGGAACTGGCTGGACAGCTGGCCGGGTAGCAGCGCCTGCAGCACGTCTTCGTCTTCCGATAGGTCGGCCTCGGCCGCTAACGGCATCAGCGACGTCGGCATCGGCATGGCGTCGCCTGCAACACCAGCCGCTCCGTTAATGACTCCTAACACTGAGCAGCGAAGACAAGAAAGCGACACTGCTGCCGAAGCGACGATGCCGCGTCAGAGCACGGTTACTCGGAGGCCCTTGGAATATAATCTGCCGCACCTGTTCGTGAGTGACGTTGCGTCGCTGGACGCAGCAGTGTCTCGACTGAGGGTCGGTCCGGAACAAAGACGGTCGAGTGACTCAAAAGGCCATGTGTAGTCAGCCTGTGAAGTCCGTCCCACAATACCCGGAAGTTTCTCGTTAAGCCCGCCGCTTTGCTGCGGAACTGGAATAACGTCCGGCCAGTTATGACGCATCGCTTCACGGAACAGTTGCGGTGGGTCCAGCGCCTCATAGGAGCGTACGGTCCTCATAGTGCCGGAATTCCACACGGTGATGTCACTGCTTCTGAAGGGTGATGCAACGCGAAGCATTTCCCGGACATGAGGAAGGAATCCTGCTGTGCGGCGTTCCGTTCGTCATTTCGCATGGCTTATCTTATCGGCGTAGCCTGTTTTAGTTCGGCGGGCAGTCGTCGCACCGCGGTGCCAGCCGCAACTGGCAGGGTGTTCGCGTGAAAGGCGCCGGAAGGTTCCGAAGGACACGAATTATGTGCGGGTTCGCCGCCAGGGAGGTGCAGGAGAGGGATTCATTCGGCTGGTGTTGCGGCGATGGAAGTACACTGCGTCCCAGACATTCTCCATTCCATTGGTTAACACGCACTTGGGTGGGGGCCCAGTTAAAACCCCGAAGGTTTCTGCAAAGAAGAACCCAAATGGTGCGGGGTGGCCTTCCCATAATTTGTAAAGCTGAAGCTGATTGGAGAGCAAATTCGTCGGTCTACAAATTAGATGTATCTTGTGATGCCGCTGACCTATGACAGGTGAAAGTCAGGCCATAACTGTCAGCGAAAGTAATTCCATGGGAATCGCTCAATTAAGTACAACAACGGAGTTCCGTACTAAGTCAATACAACGACTTTGAGTTGGTTTCTTTCTTAATTCAACTTTTGAAATTAGGATTAAAACTAATTCCATTGTCCTTTTGGTCTGGTATGAAGGTCAGATCAAGGTCAAAACCAAACCACCTCACCATTGGTAAACTTGCTCTACGAAGTATATTTTCACGCTTATTTCGCATTATTGGAACACGACGTCAAATATGTCGTATTTTGACTAATGAAGGTGAGAGGTCATGGACCTAAAATGACAGCGATCAACTTTTGCTTCGGGCAGCATGCGTGCTAGACTCCTGGCTGCGAAATAAAATGTCAAAAATATTCCCGAAGTTGTTTGATCATCTTTACCCTCTAAAGGCCAAACAAAATCACTGAGCTGATATGAATACCAGTTGAGTTTTGCGTATCAGGGGTACTTGGGTTAAAGGTGGTTGCACCAGGTGACCGGATAGCGCTAAAAACATCAATCTAGAACTTGACCTTATTTGACTAAATCTGGCCCGGAGGTCGTGACCTAAAAATATCAAGTGTTATATAAGTCAGTTCGCACGGGGCCCTACCTGCTCTGTCCATTTGGTGTCTCTAGCACTCTTGTTGCTACCGGTTGCGTCCCACCCCACCCGAGCGCGTCGCATTCTACCGGTCACTTGAGCACGTGGAGTTCTCTGCGTTCCTTTTTGTCGGCGCCCGTGATCCCGCATCTCGGACCGGCCAGGCGCCAGCTGGCTGGGCCGCCACCGCCGCTCGCCCTCCGTGCCATCCGGCCGTTAGCCCGCGGCGCGCGCTCCGCCGCCCGGCACGGCACAGCGGCAGCGGCGGCGCACGGCCGGTCGGGCGCCGCCCCGACCGGCCCCGGCCTTACGTGCGGTAGGCCCCACCCCGGCTGCTGGGAGCCCACGTGACCTGAGCTCGGCGGCGGGCATGCCGTCAAAATGTGTGGCTTGAGTCTCGTGGAGGGAGATGAGTCCGGGGGGGGGGGGGGGGCAGATAGCGTGGGTTGTTCTCTTATCTTCGTGAAGGGAATCGCGGCTTATTGATCACGACATGTTGGACCCAATCGATTGCCCTTCGTGAATTATCAGTCGAGAAGACAGCTGTCGCAAGAGAGACTGCTTTGTTTGCTCAGTGACCTCGTTTCCCTCACATTCCAAAGCATCACGCGCGCGTGCTTAATTTAGCAACAGCACACCGCCACCGCCCACCTCACCTGCTGTGTGCGTAGATAGAATGAGCTGTGGCGTCGTTCGTCTCTACTCTCCGATGCACCTCCTCGCGGCGTCACCGCCTCACGAGCACTGGCAGGCACCGCCGGAGCCGCTCGCTCCGTACTCGCCCCACTCGCCCCGGGAAGCCCGGCCCGCCTCGCCCGGGCGGTGGCCGCTTCCGCGGACCGGTGGCGCCGCGCCGAGGGCCGCTCGCCCCGCCAACTTGCGGCGTTGCACCTACCCCCGGCCCCCGGCCAGGAGGGCTGTGGACAGGTGACTCCGGACGGTTCGTCAGACGTCGGGGCGCTCCCGGCCTGATGGAACCGGAGGTACGGCGGGGCAGAGGTGACCGACTCTCAAGGCCGAGTGTGGAGTGGCACCGCCGCCCGGCGCCAGGGGCGACTCGAGGTATTGAGTTGGAGGGAGCACGCGAGCCCTCCCGTCGCGGTAGCGGGCCAGCGATCGGTAGTCTCTCGACGCCGCCAGGTGTTCGCCGTGCGCCGCCCGACTGGACGCGCCTCTGCCAGCTTCGCTGGACCGCACGACCGGGGCCGGGGCGCCAGCCTGGCGTTTCGGCCGGCATGATTCACTGGTGCCTGCGACCGACGCGACCGTGCGCTCGTCGGTCGATGTCGAGGCAGTCGTCCAACCCGCCGGCCCCGCCGTCGCCTCTGCCCCTCCCGTGGCCTTGCAGTGAGGAGGCCGATAATGCGCCCGACTCACTCGAGCCGTGGTTGCACGGTAAACGGAAGACGTAACTGAGGCGCCGTTGCATCAGGGGACGTGCCGCCTTTGTGTGTCGGTAGTCGTTTTCGGTCACACGTCATCCGTCTCTGTGAAGCCCAGAGGTGAGGCCGACCGACAGGCTGACGGGGCATGTCCGGCTGCCCAGAGTAGGTCAGGCGAAGGTAGGGGAGTGACCGTGACCCATGCACCCGTCGGCTGGCACCGGCACGCGCCGGAAGCGGGCCTCGGCGAGTTGGGATGGCTCGGGACTTCCCGGCCGGTGCCCAGGTTCAGCCGCCCGGTGACGGCCCGTGGCTGTGGACTTCACGCTGGCTTCGGGCTGGCGCCGGACGTCCGCACTCGCGCGGTGGAGGCACGAACGATCCACGTCTGGGGTGGGACACGGTGAAAGGCGCCGGTCGTGCCTGTCCGCCCGCCCGTCCGCCGCTCTCGCCGCCGCTTCATTGCTGTGACGTGATAGGAGGTTTGGCTTTTCCCGGTTGTGGCTAGGTTCCACTGTGTTCGCTTCTTTTTACGATAACGCTTTGCTGCTTGGCTTTGAAGCTGCCAGGAAACAAATATTTCTCGAGACCGGTTATGAGCTGGAGCTTGTGTAACGGCACCTCTTTCCAGTAACCGGCCGCTGTGCTTGCAGACATGACGAAGTTCGAGAGCGTTCGGACGGTCGCGGTCCGTCACGGTGGCGCTAAAATCATTGGCGTATGGCGGGGGTTCCCGACATTCCCATGAGTGGTCGATGGTAATCCCCAACAGCCGTGGGACCTGGCGAAGTAGCGCGACTGCAAACCTGGAATCACCTCCAGTCCACTAATAGTGGCTCCTGGCATGCAACATTCTGTTGTTGGCAAGGAGCCAGTAATCCGTTTGTTTTCGTCGAACGCGCAGTGCGGCACCCGTGCGTCAAGGATACGGGTATGCTATCGCAGGCTCAGAAACAGCAGTTTGTGCTTGCGATTGGTGGAAAACCTTGCAAGCTAACACCAGCCAGGCATCAGTGCAATGACCAAAATTTTGGAATGTGGCTATTAAGCCTCCACAACTTTTCGGCCTGAATGATCCTTAGGCTGGTAAAATTGTTGCTATCAACGGAACGCACCAGCGAGACATTGAAGCATTTTTCGCGTTGATATACGAACTAATCCCGTATGGGTGGGTCAGTTTTTTTGCGGCCAGAATATGTTGCCAATTAAGTTATTGGCGTCTGCTGTTTTAAGCCCGCGAGCCCACCCGGCAGGGGTTTCTGCAATGATTGTAGCTGGGCCTTATAAGGTAAATGCGCACCATCTGGTGTTCTTACCTGTTTACACGCAATCTGTGCGCTGAAAAGAAAATTCTAGCGCATTATCTTGGGGAAACGAAAAGACCTCTCAGACCTCCTCTCAGTCAACATATTTGGACCAACAGGTATCTGTCCCGGGACACACATCTCTGAGACGATTTCATCCCGCACCATAGCAATCGTATAATTCATCACCAATACGTTCGATGATGACTCAGATTGTATTGGAGACTAAGAACCATCCCCAATCACCGGTGGCCTTGAATTTATATGCACCCACAAATGTCAACCAGTGATGAATACAATTTGTCTGTGCGGTACGTATTATATATATATATATATATATATATATATATATATATATATATATATATATATATGGTGTGTACTCTATCATAAAAATGTGGTTGATGTGGGTTAATTTGTTGTGTATATATATATCAACCTACATCAACCACATTTCAGCCGGCACGTGTTTTGATCGAATTGGAGTTGTTTGTGAGTTTTGTCACGTGTTCCAGCTTTACGAAAGGATTGAGACGAAGCATTAACATCACGGATGAGGTAGTTGTTCGGACTATCGTTCTCGTCATTTGTGTTAGTTTGTATACAATGCTTCGGTCAGTTAATTCTCAGCCCGTCGTCAGCTGTAATGGAGTCCTGAAAGGGGCTGGGTGATGCTTGACCATCAGCCATGTGTGCGTTACAAGCCCAATTCTCTCCTGGCATTGCTGGGATTCGCACCAGGATCGTCTTTATTGCCAGTCCAGGGCTCTACCAACCGAGTCAACTGAGCCGACTCGAATACAACTGGGATGAGTATTCGTGGCGAGCAGATTCCCGGCCTCCGATCGACGTCGACGTTCATCTGCCAAGTAGAACAACTGCGAGCAGCTGGACCAAACACTGTTCCCCCTGTAGAGCGGAGCGCCCGGGGAAAGGTGGTCGGTCCGGTCCTGCGTCGATGGTGAGGGCGGGCAGCCTTCGGCCCGGCCCTAGGTGTGACCGGGTTGTATCGGGGTGGTGTAAATTTCCCGATTTCTCAGCTCTCTCATCGGCGGTTATAAGGTGTCAAAGCAAGCCACTCGTCTGGATTGGATTTCGGTCAACTTCATCGCCATTCGGAGCGCGTCGGCGTCGGAGTGTGTATGTGCTTGTTGTTTTCCATAGATATCTCAATCTGTGAGGAAATCACGCTTTCACCACAAACGCGAGGTGCTCTGATCAAATCGGCTGGATTTGGGAAAGTGGGGTTTCTCCGACGGTTCAACTTGGCTTGGCCAGTGGCCACGGTAGCCTCACTTCGAAACCATGACTATGGCGTACCCGTCTCCTTTTTGAGGTCAAAATGATTCGGATGTACTTGAGTATGGTCCAATCTCTCTCTTCCCCGTCCACCAGCCACATGGGATTCGCTGCTCGACCACGACGTTGCGACACTGACCACATGACCAGCACGGCCCTTGCGTGTCGATCCTTTTTCCTGGATAGCGGTTCCAACAAACAGACGTCCGTTTCCTGAATGTTTTTATAAACTGTTGACTAGCCAGTGAAAGCATTTTCAAGCTTCGTGGTCAACCTTCGAAGCCACTGATTTTTATGCAAGAGAGGAAAACGCAAAATGCGCTTTTGCTGCTATGTCGCTCCTCAGACGAAACTGGGTACGGCTGTGCTAGTGCCATGTTTCTGAATGTGGTCTATCCTTGATATCGATATATATATATATATATATATATATATATATATATAATATCTCAATTCAGAGTGACCGATTGTCTTCTGGTAAGACCGCCACACTGCCACTCGGTTGGCCAAAGCGCTGCAAAACCACTCCGTTGCTGTTTCATAAAGTGAATCGCATCAACAAGTTACGGTCATCAGAAGCTTTCCGGCAGCTAACTGCATTTTTGGGCGGTCCTTAACATGGCGCCGGATATCAAGTGTTATGACGCGTCATCCGGAATGACTCCATCGATGTTTTCAGACAGTAAGCGCACAATCGTCTGTCTAATCCAGTGACTCCAAATTTAACACGCGCTCGGTTGGGGGGGGGGGCTCAAATCGACCCCTCGAAGGTTTTTCCAGAATGGTTTTCGAACGGCACGGCGTAGCCGCGCCAAATTTTGCATAGCTGTAGACAATTGAATAGCGGATCGTTTGGCATAATACAGATTTAGATGTACCTCGTAATGTCGCTGACCTATGGCAGGCAAAAGTCAGGCCATGGTTTCAGCGAAGACACTTTCCAGGGAATCCTTCAAATTGATCTAACAACAGAGCGTTAGACGAAACCATACATTTCTGAGATGCTTTCTTAGGCAACACAACAGTTGAATGAGCAAATTGTATTGACCTAAGGTCAGGTATGAAGGTCACACCAAGGTAAAACTACTGTTTTGTTACTCTATGGCTTGCTGTATGGGATAGTTTCTGGCGCCCATTTCGAATGCATTGATAGCAGGATCTACATTATACATATTCCACGAACTTCTTAGAGATCATAATAGGCAATTGGCCTAAAATGACCCAGGTCAAAATTTTTCCTTTAACAAGATCATAGGTGGATCCTGGAGGGAGGGGGGGGGGGGCACGGGGCTATGCCCCCCCAAAAAAACTCTGAGAGTATGTCTTGAACCCCCCAAATATTCACACAACTTCGCAAAAGTTTCGTTCACTTGCCGTCTGTTTTAACTTTGATGGTGCGGTATCAAACATTTCTTTCTGTTTCGGAAAAAAACTTCATGAAGAATGGTTGGCAGCGATTTGAACATCAAAACAAAACGCATGTTGACGCAGCTTAGTCATACTCGGCGCAAACATCGTGTTTGATGAGTGCACTGGACCCCGGATCCCACACCAGCCAGCTGGCGACGAACGATTGTCCCCCCCCCCCAAAAAAAAACCACAACTCCAGGCTAGATCCGCCCCTGGAGAAGATAGCACCTAGTGTAATCTTTGTCGCTTATTGCAAAAGCGACATTTGTCACTTATTGCAAGTGTAAAACTCAAAGCAGTCTTGTACGATTTTGGTCTCGACCTTCAAAAGTTCAAAAAAAGTCGCTGACCTTGAATGGGCATGTGATCTTTTGCTTAGAAACGGTTATCTAGGTTCTGGGCGCACTTTGGGGACTAACCTGAGACTTGATCTTGCATGTCCTTTTTTGACCCGAAGACTATGACCTAGAGACATGAAACTTTTTTGACCTAAGTGAGTTCACGTACAGGTCAACACACCCTATAAATTCGGTGTCTCTAGCTTTCCTAGGTCCCGAAATCTCAGGG